AGCAGCCCCTTTCGGCATTCCCAAAGAGTCCTCCCCTCCCTTCCTTTGTACCTTTGTCCTCATCCTCCTTCTTAGAGCTCTTCTCTTCTTTTTTCACCTCCTTCTCTTCTTTCTGCCCCAAAGAAGAGCCCGAATTAAGCAAGGACACCACGGAAAGACAGACAAAATTCCAGACTACCCAAGAGACGCAATGTTTGGCTAACGGAAAAACGAAACATCTCGACCGCAAAGCTAGGGAAATCAGCCTTGAGAAGCCCTAAGAAATCAGCCTGAAACTACAGATGCCATGTCCGTGGCACACGATGACCTCACAGGACACGTGGACGTCATTGTGGCCTGTAGCAGACCCCTGTGAAATGGCCATCTTCCTCATCTTTTATTCTGGCTCTCCAAAATATTCCCAGCCCCCCTCCCCTGAGAGGCCTCAAAGCATAAAACCCAAGTGACAGCGATCCACAGGAGGGTAGCTACTCGACTTTAGTGCCCGCGCGCCCGTGGGTGGCAGAGAAACCCCGTGCAAATTAATTACAGCCCCGCCAGAGCTTTGAGATTAAAACGCTTCTGTCATGCTGAAATGAAGCAACTGGGAAAAATAGGGGCGAGGAAGACTTATTACACCCCCCGGCCCTCGACGTTTCCCAACGGGGCAGGGTGGATGAAAAACAAAGCGTTACTTAACCGCCAGGATGTGCCAAGAAAATCTCTTTATCCCTCCAGGCGAGGGGAAGGTAGACATTAAACCAGGGTGGAATAATAGCAGGATCGACTTCTTTTCTTCAACTAGGACAAAGCCAGTTGTGGAAAGAAGTCGGGGAGCAACCTTGGCTGTGATTCTGGGGCGGGGGGAGGAAATAGCATTGACCAGCCCTCCTCACAAGGATCCAGGGAAGGTATCTCAGACAATTGGCCGCTCACCGGAGGAGGCAAAGGGAAAAGACCGACTTTTAGAGTCAACTGGACTTTCCCCAGCGCGAATGCGTCCTCCAGGCCAGGAGGAAGACAGTGTAAAATCCAGTCGCTGTTGTGCAAAGCATTCGCGTTCAGGAACCTCCTGTGCAAACTCGCAGGCTTCCTGCGCAGGAATTTCGAAACGCGTAAAGGACTTTTGCCAACTTTCCGGCAAAAAAACAAAAACAGACCACGGATTACGGAGAACTAACCGCCCCCCTGGTTTGCACGCCCATCCCCTGGAGAGGAGAGAGGGGGATTGTCCAAAGAGCAGCCATGTTCTTATTACCCAAATACGTGCTCCCTAAACTTGAAGCTCACTCCCCCCAGCCCGATTTTGAGCCTTGCTCACTTCCCGCTGTTTGCGACGCTCCTCATCCTTCTTGGGATCCGGCACGGGGATGTCTAATTCCGCACGGAGTGAAATTAGGTCTGTAACGTTCAGCTCGGGAGCCTTGGAGGAAAAAGAAAGAGCCATTGCAGACATTCCTGCTTGGCACCCACGTCCCCTACCCTGGGCTAATCCCCTAGTTTGGGTGCAAATGTGATTCGAAATCACAGCCCGCTTTGTTTTCATGCCAAGGCTCCGGTCCTCATGGGAGTAATCTTTCAGGGGGAACCATAATGGGGGGTAGGGAGACTCGGTCCCCAGAAAGTGACGTGTAATAATTCTCTATCCCCAACAGATGTTAGAATTTAACCTTGAAATTTTGAGATTATTACCCGGTTCATCGTCCAGAGACAACAACTGCTGTTTAATCCATCGACTGTCTATCTAAGGTGGGCCAACCCCAACCCATTGGGCAAAGCTCATCAGCTTGTTTGGCAACTGCATCGGAGATATTCTAAAATGGCAGCTAATTTTAAATTCAGGATTACCCTTATGGGCTTCTTTTTTGTCTACAGTATCTAAGTCCAGCCTTGGAAAATTTGATTTAGAGATCTACCCACTGCTATTCCAGCCCAGACCCCAAATGCATGAAAGACCTAATGAAAGTATGTAGATTTTGAGGTTTTCTTCCTTACAGACAACTGCCTATGAGAACGTATCCCCAGCTCTTTGATCGCTGATCGTTCACGGTTCTTTTTATCTTTAGTTTTCATTTCCACATCCGCCCGAAGGCAGCCTTACCTTCAGAAAATTACTGAGCTCCACAACTTTTTCAGGGAATCTTCTGGCGACGAGATCTTCAGCCTTGGGAGAGGAAGAAGGCAAATATTTGAGTCTGGGTGAACTTAATTAGCCAATGAATATGGGAAAGAGAAGAACGGGGGCTCATTTTCAGGACCATCGACTGTCTTTACGTTTACAATTAAAATGTTCTGCGGTTATGTGATAAAAAGTATGGCATTCGTGACCCACGCCTGCTGCAATCTTTAAATATTATTATTAGTATTATTATTACTATTACTATTAACCCTTGGGTGGAACGGAACCTCCAATCTTTCTGATCTCCGGCCCGTCCATCTTAGATCTGTGGGCCGCGGGAAATGCCCTGTACGTTTGCTGGGGGCGTTAAAGGATGCAGCTGGGGGGGGGGGAGCTGATTGA